AAAATAAAGGTCCATCAACAACTAAAAAAATATTTTCTTAAAAAAATGAAAAATTCCATCATATCACAGCAAAGCACATGTCTAGTCTAGCTCTAAATTCCTTCTTTCATCTAACCTTCCCTGGCCTTAGCTTTATTTGTAGCCTCCATACCATCAACACTTAAATTCTCTATTTATACAGTATTCCTTGCCCAAGTTTCTTCAACAAAGCAAAAGCAAATTCAATATACTCCTCTTTAATTTATTCTCTCCAGTGTTGCTCCTTTCCTTGTTCTCATGGCCAAAGAGCAGTGCTTCTCAAAATTTTATACTATAAAAAGGCTGGGGTTGTAGCTCAGTGGCAGAGCGCTTGTCTAGCATGTGTGAGGCACTAGGTTCCATCTCCAGCACCACATAAAAATGAATAAATAAACAAAATAAAGGTATTTTTAAAAAGAGAACACATGGAATACAAGCCCATAGATAATGCTTCTGGATATCAAAGCAAAGTGAAACTGGTGTAAAAGTTTATCTTATCATAGACCATTAGCACTCTGTGAACGGGAATAGGCCTGAGGACATGAGGACACTGCTTTTTTTTTTTTAGTTGTAGATGGACACAATCCCTTTATTTTATTTATTTATTTTTATATAGTGCTGAGGATCGAACCCAGTACCTCACACATGTTAGGCAATCGTTCTACCACTGAGCCACAACCCCAGTCCTAGGACCCTGCTTTGAGGGTACTCCCCAAAGGCCACTACATCCTTTAGTTTATCCTTGGATATCATCTTTCTATCCCCAATTTTTCTTTATAATCCATCCAGAGCTGCTACTATTTTCTCTAGCCCACTTGAAAATCTTACTTGTTGGTTACATTAGTATGAGACCCATTGATTACTTCCTTATTCTGGTAACTGATGAACATTTCTCCCTAGTTTCTTCTGACCCTCTTGGTCCTCTGAGCGATTACTTTCCCAGTATCTTAGCTTGCTGTTCTACATGATTACGTCCTTGATAACTTGTTTTCTCCTATGTTCCCAAAGATTGTATTTTCCTGATTTCAACTATATGAAAATTCAACTTCTATCTCTGAGATAGAAATAAAGTATCTTACCAAATTCTTCCTTTCACATGGACATTACTACTCACATTCATTACTCTTTCAATTAAAATCACTTAACATATTTATCAAAAATCCTTGCATTGTCAGGTTCTGCAGCAAATACAAATTCAAACAAAACAGTCTCTCCTCACAAGGTGCACTGTAGTATGGGCTTTGGATCCAGTGTAGCTGGGTTTAAAGCTCCACCTCTGATCTCCAATTCAATTTCCTTATGTAAAAATCTTGTGTATTCAATTATACCCAGTTCATAGGACTGCTGCTAAAATGAAGTGAAATAACTGATGTGGAGCAACTATCACACAGAAAATACCCCATAAATATTCTTGTTGTCATTAATATTAACTATCCCAGCAGTGACATTTTATTTCTACTATGTTACAAAAAAATTTTTGGTAGTTAACGATTTGTCTTTAGATTGGGTTTATGGCAATTTGTTAGTCACTCTTAATCATTGTTGCTAAGATAACATGCAATTCTAAACCATTAACAATAGTAAAGAGTGTCAGAAAATGGCTCAAACATTTGCACAGATAAGTTCAATAAACTTGCAAGTTGGGAGAATATACTAAGAAGACAGATGGTAAACACTGAAATGCATTCAGTTTCCAGCACAGTCACAAATTAGTTATTTGACCATGTCAAGTCATTTGATTTCTCAGCTTTGTTTTCTCATCTGTAGAGGTCCATATACATGATCTATATCCTTTTTATTTCTTAATTCTTTAAGATAAAATTATTTTTTAATTCCAAATACAAACTATGTGCTGAAACAATCTGTAAATTTTTTTTGAATCTCAAAAGAGGCTTATTCAAAGACAAAAAACAAAACAGTTGTAATATCTAAAACACAAAAATTAGCCTATATATGATATGCAATAAAAAATAAAGATTCAAGAAAATTACAGTGTTTCAAGACAAAAAAAATAGATATTACATAAGATTTTCCAGTTTGGCACTCTTTATAAAACATACAAAAACAATATAAAATCAAGGCTAAAATGTTCACTGATTTTAATCTAGTACTTGTTTTTAACAGGGAGCCAATATTTCACTGTTTCATAGTAATAGCTACTAAAAAGCATACACTATATTTGCCAAGAACTGTGCCAAGCACTTTATACTTATTAGCTCACTTAATCCTCATGAAGAAACCTATGAAATAAGTAATATTTTGCCATTTAACAGATGAAAAACCTGGACATCCCACACCAGTGGAGAGTGGCAAGCTGGAACACAGTATCATTCTATAAGCCTCCTACATCTAGTTAAGCAGTTCACTAAGCCTCCTCCAAACATGTCCCGCTTGGATGAAAACACACAGTTCAACAAAATAATTGAAGGAAAAAAATCACAAGCTTTAAAACACTAGGCAAAAAATGATACCATAGAAAAGAAAATGAATGTGCTCAGAAAAAGGAACCCACCTTCATGACCAATGACAGATCTGGAAGCAGTCTGAAAGCTAACAATTCCCGCCACATTGTCATTGGCCAAAATGTTCACTCTCACAGTGTCGGAACTGGGCAAAATTCTACTTCCTCCTTCAGTGTACACCAAACTAACTATGATGCTTTCATCATCCTCTGGATCAGAATCATCCAGAATGGTTAAAATGGCTGTCTTTTTGGTTTCACCTATAAAAAAAATATTAATGGAATTAAAAACCAAAGTTAAGAAAATCACCAATGTAGAGAACTCAAAAAGGCCCCAAATAATCTCTACCTTAAAAAGTGAAGTAAAAAATAATGTGAGTTCATTATAATAGCTCAGTATTTGGGGCAATATTCACACCATTAAAATCAAATTTTCTTTGTTCATCTATATATTTTTTACACATAAAGCACCATAAATATTCATTAATGTGTAGAAAAGAACATTCTGAGTTACTAAAAAGTTAAAGGGTAGAATTATTTCAAAGAATCATAGCTTTATTTCCTGGTCTTTAAAGAACAATGACCTAAGTAGAGAAAAAGCTTTAAAAGCATTTTATATCTAAGAACAGTTCCTTTAAAGACAATGGGGTCTCATTCTCATTCTGGCATTATTGTGGAAAATTTTTAATCAGGTATTCAACCTAACACCTCCCTGAGAAACCAGAAGCACATAGGGAATTGTGATCAAAATGGCAGAATGGGACAGGGGCAGGAAATGGATGACAAATACTGAGTAAAAGAACCAGCATAAATAAGATAAGTCTTTCGGTAATTAGACAATGTCAAGTACCAACTTCTAGGATGTAGAGCACTGTGGGAAGCAGGCAGAAAATAAATTCAAAGGGGGGCAGGATGGCCAGAGGGGCCTAGTAATTTGCTTTGCAATTTGATCTAGGATCCCAGTAGTAGATAGGGCACCAGTGAGCATCCTAAAAGCAAATACTGCATCTGTGGTTCAGCCCATGATGTCCTAATTTACTTCCTCCCCACTCTGGGAAGAGGATAAAAGAGAGTAAAAAAGAAAAGTTAGGAGAAAGCAAATTAAATGCTGATGTTCTTTCCCTCCTGACCCTGATGCAGTGTTGAAATTGCCTCAAGACAGTAGATATTATCTAATAATCTAAGTT